ATAGACCCCACTCACCTATAGACCCCACTCACCTATAGACCCCACTCACCTATAGACCCCACTCACCCATAGACCCCACTCACCCATAGACCCCACTCACCCATAGACCCCACTCACCTATAGACTCCAGATAGTCTCCTTCGTGGGAGTGTTTGTAGAGGAAGAAGTGGTAGCGCGCCGTGTCTTTGGGGACCCTGGCCGGCAGATCCTGGATGTCGGTGTGCTTGGTGTGCACCAGGTCGATGGTCTCCTTTTCTATATCCAGTTTCTGGACAGTGAAGAGAAAGTCTTAAAACAAAGCAAAAAAAACACAACAAGCCAATAACACGAAGGCCGATCGCCAGCACCCGGCCCAATATTTACTAAGGAGAGGTCATCTGTATATCGCATATGTACATCAACCCTGTCAGGGGGATGCGGGGGGTCCAGGCTGATGATTCCGGGATGTCGGAGTTCATCGGCGGAAATTTTCCCAAAATTTCAGTCAAATTTTGGAAACCTGCCGTCTTTCTAAAGTGAAAGTATTGTTGGGGTTTGTACAGAATTTCTTTATTGTGTTCAGGAGCAAACAAAGGAAAATAAAACAATACTTTGTTCTATCCGGATTATCATAGTATACGCATGCTGTGCATTCTTCTTTACAGCCAGCAGGTGGCGCCGTGTCCTCCTTTTCATACAACTACAGGATCCCAATTCCCACTCAATGGGGTTTATTAATAAAGGGTCGTTGGCTGAACATTCATCCCTCAGGATTTGCCCATGCCTTTCAAAGAGGATTCACCCATCACATTTAACAAGATTCACTGATCACCCAGGGTATATATATATATATATATATATATATAGCCTCATGCATACAGGCACAAGGAAGCTGTACATGTTGTAAAATTACATATACAGCCCCCATGCACCCGGGTGCATGAGGCCTCATAGGTGAGGAACCCCAGTGCACTCTATAATCAGCAGTAAGTAATAGGCCTGCTTAGATTTGCATAGTATCTGGTCAGAAACGCCCCCTCTCTGGTCAGACAACTCCCCCTCCGGTCACCTACACACCCATACCTCCACTCTGGTCAGACACTCCCCCTCTCACAACAGACACACTCCCTCTCTGGTCACTCATTACCCCCTTCCGGTCAGACAATCTCTCTTATCAGACCGGTCCCTTCTCTGGTCAGACAGGCCCCCTCTCTTATTAGCTACACCCCTCTCTCAATAGACACACCCTCTCTCTG